AGGGGGAGCAGGAGAGGGAGAAGCAGAGGGAGAAGCAGGCTCCCCGCTGAGAAGGGAGCCTGATGGGGGGCTCGATCCCAGGATTCTGGGATCATGACCTGAGCCTAAGGCAGACGCTTAATGACTGAGCCACCCAGGCATCCCTATTAAGATTATTTTAAAAGCTTATGTAAATAAACTTACGTAGAGAGAGTCATATTAGTAGTCAAAGAAATGTGTATTATAAAAGGGAGATAGGTTAAAACAAATATATTTAGAAGGATTTTAAATTTTAACACCTAATATGGTTTCTGTGAAAATAGTTTTTATTTTGGATATTACTTTAATAGTTGCATTAATGTTTTATATTCTTTAATCGATACTGCATACTCAGTTCTAGCAATTTATTCAAAAGAAATAATTCAAAAGTGAAAATGTTAGGTGGAAAATATTTACTGTAGTTTTATTTTAACAACAACAAAAAATTTGATATATATAAGATAAAACCCGGGGCCATCAGTCCTTTTTTAGGGAATTGCTGATTTGGACTGAGAGGTGCCAGGCTCGATCCGGTTGCTCTCCTGACTGGAGCCGTAAACTCAGAAGCTATGCAGGCCATTTCCTTCCAAGTGTACAAGGAAGTAAACAAAGCCTGGGAGAGGTAGGGAGAGCGGACAAGAGACCAAAATAAACAAGGAAAAATGCAAAAAATGAACAAACAAAAAATTTGGTAACTTACATATCTAAGAGTAGAGGTGTAATAAAGTAAATTTAGTTATTTCTACTGGATAGAATATTATGCAGCTATTAGAAATTATAATTTTGAAAATAGTGTGAACAATACTTTTGATAGAAAAAATATTACAAAATATAGATGAAAGAAAAGATCTTAGAGTGGAGAGAATATGGACTCTGGCATATCTGAATTCGAATCCTACCTTGATACTTTCTGAGGGTCCTTGGGTTAGTTACTTTATCTTTCTGAACCTCAGTTCCTCTCTATAATAACAAGATACTTACGTAATAAGTTGTAGAATTAAACAAAACAATGTATGTCAAGAACCTAACAGTACTTGGTTGATAGCACAGAATAGTACCTTTTTATTATTGTTGGCATATGAATATACCATGTAGTTTAACTGTGAAATTGAGGAGAAGAGACTATTGGGAATAATGATGTTAGATTGTTAAAATCATGTTCTTAATTTTATGGAATAAAATTGTTTTTAGAGCAAAAATGCCTAAAGAAGAAATAATTTACCTATTAAGGTAAAAAATATAATTAATAACTGTGGAACACCTTAACATTTGTTGCACTGAGATTTTGTTAGGAGACTTCATTGGACAGCATATTTCCAGATTTCTGAAGCTGGAGATTAAATAATTGGGGTTCAGCTTCTTTCATAAGTCAGTAAATAAAAAGAAATGTAGAAAGAAAGAAGTCATCGACATACCTTCTTTGCCCTTTTTCTTTAGTTTTATGATGGTAGAGTATAGGGTGGGTGGATACATGTATATAGGTAGATGTGTGTTCTGGAGAGTAGTTCAAGTGTTCACAAAACATTGCATTTCCTTACCCCCCAGGGGAGTAGGAATGTTAGATGGGAGGGACACAGGGTGCATAGAGATAGCATTTTGTGGGTAGTACTTTGTCTTGAGAAGAAATCATTGTAATTTAGTGAATAAACATTGCCAGTATGGGCTACCCACAGAGTCAAAAAAGTAGTTTTGGTATATGAAATACTTCTTTATTATGACTATCTTTTAATGTATATTTTAAACATTTTAGGAGCCACTGGAAGTGGGGAAATGGTCTGTACAATATGTCAAGAAGAGTATTCAGAAGCTCCCAATGAAATGGTTATATGTGATAAGTGTGGCCAAGGTAAACATTGATTTCTTTTAATCTTGTCAAAAAGTTTTATTACATACTTAATGCTCCTGTTGAAGATTAATGATTAAAAATACTTTACATTGGTAACTTGAAGCTGTTATCATAAATTTATTCATCAATTGTAAATATATTAATGTAGGAGAAGAGTACGAAAATGCCTTCTTGAAATTGTGTTGCAGTATTTATTAATAAAATAGAATTTGCTTTATGCTTTTTTTGATATTAAGGATATCATCAGTTGTGTCACACACCTCATATTGATTCCAGTGTGATTGATTCAGATGAAAAATGGCTCTGTCGACAGTGTGTTTTTGCAACAACAACAAAGGTATCTTTTAAGTGTTTTGGGCTAAAGCCCTAAATGGAATTTGTAAGGCACTCTCAACGTAATGATTGTATACATTGAAAGTTTATGTGACTGAAATGAACAATCAGTGCTGGGTAGAAAGAGGTGAGGCTTATTGTTTGACTAATGATGCTTAAAGTGACTTGGAGCTATCCTTGCACTTATTTTCTGATAGTGAGTGGTCTTGGAATTGGGGCAATAATTTGAAAGACAACAAAATAAAGATTATTATTAGTCAAACAGTTTGTGATATGGTAAGAAATTTAGAGTGGAGATTTCTTCAGAAGTTTCAGAAGCATTTTTATGTTAAAGAATTGTATTTAAAATTTTATCCTTCATTTGTTTAAATAACTTTTTCCCTCTAATATAGAGGGGTGGTGCGCTTAAGAAAGGACCAAATGCCAAAGCATTGCAAGTCATGAAGCAGACATTACCCTATAGTGTGGCAGACCTTGAATGGGATGCAGGTCATAAAACCAATGTCCAGCAATGTTATTGCTATTGTGGAGGCCCTGGAGAGTAAGTAGTTATTTCATGCCCTTTACGTGATTTTTGTTTATATTATCTTATTTTTGTTACTGATTGTGGTGTGGGATTGATAGTGAATTGTAAATGCATGAAAGTGTCAATAAAGAAAATTAGGGCAGAAAATTTAGAGGTCGTAGTTATATTCATCTGTATCATTAGATGTTAGCTAAATAAGTGAATCTGAGTTCTAACCAAGAATGGTTAGAAATTTACCTTTAACTTCTGATCACTGGTCTTAGTTTTCTTTTTGGAACTAAACAGATACATTTTATCTCTCTTAGAAGGTAACTCTAAAATATTTCAATCCAGCGATCATATTTCTTGTTCCCGTGACTCACACCAATAGTGTAGTGTTTTTTTCCAGGTTAAAATCTCCATTATCATCAAACATTCTTTGTGACATGACTTCTAACCTCTGTCTTTGTTGCGCTCTAGGTTTTGAAAGTTACTCTTGAAATACGGTGTTATGATTAGAAAATTAGAAAATTCCAGGAGTAGTCTCCCAGAATATAATTGGGCTATTAGAGTTCAGAACATTATGCTTCTGTTGTTGCAAAGAAAGATTCTATTTATTACTTCTCTTGGGTTGTCCTCTTAAATTTTTTTTTGCTCATTTTGGGTTTGTGGTCAACTAATACCTCTAATTCTTTTTTTTTTTTTTGGTATAAGCTCATATTAAGCCAAGTTGTAAATCATGTATTTTGTAGTACATTTAAAAAAATGCTAGTGAATCGTATTTCACTCTTTAAATTGTAATTATTGTTTTCTTGTGTCCTTCTTCCTCTCAGACTCAGTGTTTCTCTTAAGACAAGGGTGCTGTTTATTTTTTTAAAGATTTTATTCATTTATTTAAGAGAGAGAAAGAGCACATGAGTTGGGGGTGGGGCAAAGGGAGAGGGATAAGCAGACTTCCTGCCGAGTGGGGAGCCAGACTCGGGGCTCAGTCCGAGGACCCCAAAATCATGACCTGAGCCAAAGGCAGATGCTTAACCGACTGAGCCATCCAGGCACCCCGACAAGGGTACTGTTTAGAATGCTGGGTTAGTCATTGTCATTAAATGTCATTAAATGACAGTCATTGTCATTAACATATTATCTGTTCAAATGCGTATACAGAAAATGTCTGTAAGTTTACCATGACTGGGACATAAGTTGTTCAGTGATGAAACATTAATATATAGATGAATGAATTTTTAGTTCTTCGTTCTCCCTAAACTCTAATTCTTAATGGAATTATATTTTATTTAATTGGAATTTTAACATTTTTGTAACAATTCTTAGTTTTTGTCACCTGCAGATTTAAGAAACATTTGTCTAGTTTCTTTTTCACTTATAAAAGAGATACAGTGAATAAGCATAGAGAATGATCTTTTCCTTTACTCATTTATACTTAGCATTTGGTTTAAAGTATTACTCAAAATCCATCATAGACATTTTATGAAGTGGATCATTCATTGTTCTTTAAGTACCATGACCATGTGAACTGTGTTTGATATTGTTAGCCACTCTAACTTTAGCAGAGGACCTAGCTAAGTACCTGGAACATAATTGGTATTTATTAGTCTTTTGATGAATGAATAACCTTACTTAATATTGGTCTTCTTGCCTTTGCCTATATATGGCTTACAGTTAATGGGGGACTTAACTTTTTGAGCAAAATAATTATTGGAAGAAAAGGCATTATTTGGGTGGCAAATAAGGATATCAGTATATCAGAACCATGTACCAGCCGAAAAGAGAGGATATCCTTAGGTAGAGATTCAGTTTTAGCTTCTTCAGCTATTGGAAAAAGAACAAAACCTGTCACAAAGCCTTTATATCTGGTAGAGTCTTTGATTAGATTTATAATTATGTTCACCAAATTTATATATGAAGTTGCTATTCTACATTCCTTTCCATTATAATGGAAAAGAATAATGGAAACAGTGTGAAGATACAAAGCTGCTTATGACTATTGGGTATATTGGGCGAACAGCTGTACACATCAGTAACCTCTGAAACTAATCTCCCTTAGGGGGTGTAGAGAGTTGATGTGAAAAAAAATCCTGGGTTGGTTCTTTGACAGAGATTCTTTACTGGTCTAGGAACCAGGCTTCATAAGTTCTTGTGAATAAGAAAGGAGGGATGAAATCCTCAGTAACCTTTTTGGGAAAGAAAAAATTTTATGTTAAATATAGCAGAAATGTCATAATGTAATCATAACTATTTTGTATAATGCCACTTGGTTTTGTTTTGCTTTGTTTTTAAAACTTTACCTCAAAAGGTAGTCATTTTAATCTTAACTTTTTTTCTTATAGCTGGTATTTAAAGATGCTACAATGCTGCAAATGTAAGCAGTGGTTTCATGAGGCTTGTGTGCAATGCCTTCAAAAGCCAATGCTGTTTGGAGACAGGTGAGAAGGACACTTGAACTTTACCAATTGATATATATATATATTTAGCTTTATATTCTAGCTGTGTTTGCAGTTTCAGATTTCTAAATGTAATTACAACAATGATTTGTGAAGGAGTCATTTAAGAGGGAAAATATTGAATGATAGACTTAAATTATTCATAATTTTAAAATACACATAATTTTTGTGCTTTTAGATGTTATTCCAGAACAGTTTTAAGTATTTAATCAGTGATTATATTTGCTCCTATTGCCCCACAGTGCTCTAAACTATTCCCATTGTTACCTTCCTTTTAAAAACCTCAAAGGGATCCTGTGACAGAAAATTGGCAAAGGCCACAGAACCTTGATAGAAAATTTACACCTTCACCGATCTAAAGAATTTACAAAAGCAGACCTAATGTGCTTTCTGGATTAGGAGAATGTGGAATAGCAGAGAGCTCTAGGAAGGAAAATGAAAGAGCACTGAACTTGGCATAAAAAACCTGGGTTTAAATGTTGGCTTATGCTGCTTACTGTCTTTCAGAACTTACGAAGATCAGTTTATCTCCTTTTATTTTACCAGATTGTTCAGAGCATTGAGTAGAACATTGTATATGGGGGCTGCCATCACAGTTCATGGTACACACAAGCCATTAGTAAAATATACCTGTGTATGAATCTCTGTGTGAACTCTGAATGTCTAATGGGCAAAAAAAAAAAATTGCCCTTGCAATTTTGTTGTTACTAGAAAACTTTAAATCACAGTGTCGTAGTTCACATTATATTTTGCTTTGTGTGTCACTCATCTATTGTAGGATATGTACTTGCTGAATATTGGCTTTAGTTGTTGAATAATTTATGTATACCTTTGATTACTCAATATGAAACTTTTCTTTTTTTCTTAGGTTTTATACATTTATTTGCTCTGTCTGCAGTTCTGGACCAGAATACCTCAAACGTCTACCATTACAGTGGTAAGTATGGACATTTCTGTTAAGAAGCAATAAAGGGCCATATTCTTAAACCTACAGGATGAAATGTTCTGTATATTATTAACTTGGTTTAAATAAAAATTTGCTTTTCTTTATACCTCGCTTTATTTCTTTTATAGATCCGTAAACCTGATGTCATTTCACTAAAGATTATCTAGTTTTATTGTTGAAATAATAAGGCCATTTGTTGTCTGATGCATAAAACGTAGCTTTACATTTCTTTTGGATTTTCAAAATTCTTATTCATGTTTTTAACTCTTTTGGGCCTTCAGAATAGCAGACAGCAGAAGAGAGAGGTCTTATACCAAATATGCTGGCTTCTATTTAGTGTAATTCTTGGGTATGGGAAGTGTGATGAATTTTGGGAGATTTCTGATAAAATGCTTATAGTAAGTACTTAGAAATTTTTATTAAATGTTTATTAAATGTTTTATTAAATGTATTTTAGGAAAAGATAAGATTTAACTCATGAATCAGATAAAATAAAGTGTTAAAATATGATCTGTTCTATGGCTTATATGTAAGTGAAATGCAAAATTTTTTATTCTAAGTTATTTTTTTTTAGAGTTACTTCCTCTTTGAATTTTAAGAAATTACTCAAATACCTTTTAGTTTATATTTACTACTCAGTATAAGCAAATATTTAATGTTTTCCAATTATTTTCATATGTAATGATTTATTATATTGTGAATATGACTTATGCTGTTTACCCTCTGCTCACCTAAAGACTTCACTTTGGGTTTTTTAATTGCTGTTTTTATTTTTTTTAATGTGATTTCTTAACAATAACCAAAAACATTGCTTTTGTATATTGTGATTATTTTTGGATTCCAGGGTAGATATAGCACACCTATGCCTTTACAACCTAAGTGTTATTCACAAGAAGAAATACTTTGATTCTGAACTTGAGCTTATGACATACATTAATGAAAACTGGGATAGATTGCATCCTGGAGAGGTAAGTGGTCTTAGAGCTAACTTCATTAGCTACTTGATGTCTTTTTTGTTTTATTTTGTTTTTGTTAAAAGCAACTAAGATACATGTATACATTACACATCTAAAGCAGAATTTTATTTTTAGTTCAGGGAGAAGTAACTTTGATGATAGCAGGGCCAGCCCTTTCATCCTCCTGGTTATTGCCTGTTAACTCAGGGAAAAATGCAGAAGGAGGAAGTAAATAAATTACTTGATTCTTCAATTTTCTGAAGTGAGAATCATTATAGTTAAAGATAGAAGGGAGGGAGAAATCCTTATTATTGCATATCTTACTTATGTTTCCTCCTCCTGTTTTTCTAAGTTTCTATAAATTTAAGAGATATAACCAACCCTCTTCCTTTCTCTCTTGTTGGTACTCCCTTATATATATATATATATACACAACATATATATATATATATAGATATATATATATATCTATATATATACAGATATATCTTTGACTTCCAGGAATGGGAGGACCCAGTAATAGTGTTAGAATAATGAGTTAGGGAGTAAAGCTATTCTAGTTGGAGATTATCCCCCTCATTCTGACATCTCATTTTGCTTTTCATTTGCAAAGTCTAACCAATCATGCTGGTTTACAGTCTTTTAAAAAAAGCAATATAAAAGTTGATGTATGTTCATTGAAGAAGATTTTGAAACAATAGACAAGCACAAAGAAGAAAGTAACTAAAATAACTTTAATAGTTAACTTGTTTTTAGCACTTACTTTGAATTATTAAAATATAGATATTAACTACTCTTAGCTTAATGTTTTGTTTTGTTTTTGTTTTTTCCTTTTGAGAATGTGGGGGTGCTGGGGAGGGGCAGAGGGAGAGAGAGAGAGAATCTTAAGCAGGCTCCATGCCCAGAGTGGAGCCCGACGCTGGGGCTCTGTCTCATGAACCTGAGATCATAACCTGAGCCAAAATTAAGAGTCAGGTGCTTAAATGACTGAGCCACCCAGGCACCCATAACTACTATTAGCTTAAATAAAAATTTTGTTTTATATTATGTGGAATTAGATGTGTGAATTTTAGTCACACATTAGGTAAAAGTTGTGTAAAGTGAAGTTTAGGAAGAATTTCTGCTTTTGTAGCTTTTAGACATGGGGTAATTTATAAAAGGTTCATGTCAAATAGGATATCAGGGTTTTTTTGGGTTGTTTTGGGGGTTTTTATGGGGCATCAGGGAGAACATAATGCACATTTAAAAGCTAGTTTGTGGTAGCAGCTGCGTATAAAACAAACACTTGCAGGATACTGAGATTTTTTAAAATCAAAGATATTATTAAAATCAATTGAGCTGAGATGTTTTGAGTGTTAGAAGTTGGAACACAACACTCTTCTGTTACATGCTTTTTCTGGATGAAATTTGAAAGAAAACGAGTATCTTACAAAGTTGATAAATTTTAATAAACTGATTAGTAATAAAAGAAAAAAGTAAGTGTAAGGCACTAGTGGCTATAGTGTTCATTATAGTCATCTTAATATTTAATACTTTAATATATTCTTTTAAAGTGCTTTCTTTCTAGCCATGGTTCCTTCAGCACTTCATATGCAGATACATCTCTATTCTTAGTACATTTTATGTTTCACATGATTAAATTCTGTAGTAGTTACTTCATGTAGACAGTGGGCACACATATAAAAACTCAAGTTACTTTATTTCAAATGCTATCTTTTATTAAAATGAAAAATGATACTTAGGTTTTATTCAAGAGGCTGAAAATAGAAAAAATCACAATTAGACTATTAGTCTAGACAAGTAGTCTATTTCTAAGAAATGAATTCAGTTTATGAATCTTATGTATCTTAGTTCTAGCTGTACTTCTGATACATATCAATAAATTTATTAGTAGATACATGTTTTCCTTTTCTGTAGCTTATGCGATAATGTCTTAGAAATAAGATGTTATACATTCAATTCAATTTCTTATTCTTTGCCAATATGGAAATTTTTTTTTAATTTAAAAATTAAGAAGAACATTATACTCTAATACAACTTTACAATGGAAAAGTTTTACTTTTCTGAGGAGTGTTTCCATTTTTTGGAGCCATCAAATTTATTATCAGAACAAGTGACTTTCTAATCATTTCTCATTGCTTTTTCTCTGCATTAAAAAAAAGAAAATATTCAGACTTAGTCATTCCATCCTCAAATGTTTACAGATGGAAGTTTAGCTTTTAACTCTATATTAATCTTCTATATCTTTATACTGTCATTATAATTGGTTTTTGAGAGTGAGATTTTAATAATAGACTATAAAATTTATGCCATCTTTAACATTTATTTGTAACATTTATATATAACTAATTTTTACTTAATTTACTTTTAAATGTTTGTGATAATAAAAACAAAGATAATACAAATAATGGATTATTCCAGATTATTAAAATAGTATATCTTTGGTTAACTGAAATTGAATTGCAAATTGAGTTTTGTCACTAATCCAAATTTAGGTTTATAAAATGTCCTTTTTGTTTATAAATACTTTCGTGTTAAAAATCTTCTTATAAATAGCCTTAATTACTTTTAAAACGTGGGAAATACTGTATGTTAAGTGTATTGTTGGTTATTGAATACTTAAGAGTCATTTAGAACATTGGTTCTTACTACATATATACTGTTGATTATATGACATAGGCACTTGCTGTAGAAGTTTCTCCTCAAAAATGAAACAAAACAAAAATAGTTGTGATTTAACTCTCTCTTAAATGTGGAGTTTCTTTCCTCCATGTGGGTAAAGAAAAAAACCCTTGTGGTGACTTGAGAAGTTGATTGAGAGTTTTATGGCTTTTTTTTCAGGAATATATATGGACACACTAGTCATAGTCATAGGGAGGCACTTATATTTATTTTCTGAGCTGAATTAGGACTTAATTTTATATATGATAACACTAGCCAAAATTTAATGGTATTTCTGTGTTATTTTGGAAGCCCCATAAATACTTATTTCAGTTTCTAGTTATTTGGAGCAATCTTAATTGAATCAGTGGTATCCATTTAGTGTTTTGTGCTTTTTTTTTGATATAAAAGAAATGATATGACTATTTTTATAACAAAAAGACGTTTTAAAAGTATTAAACTTCTTTTGGAGAGTATATCCTTTCATACTGAAAGGCATATTTAATATTTATGTATCATAATTTTTTCTTAGTTGGTTATTTCAGGATTGTGAAGAGAAGCTGAAACTTTTAGAACATATTGGAACATAATGATAGTTCTATATCCTGTTTTCTTATGTGATTTTTGTTTTCTTTTACATCTTTGAGACTTCTTGCCTTATATAGACTGAATGTAGCTATTTGAGAAACTATTGTTTTGTAATTTTTAAGATAGTAAAAATATGTAATGCAACATTTGAGGTCCAAGTAAAGGTTTATTTAGAATGAGGAATTAACTGTTGCACCAGATCGCTTTTGAGAGTTAAAAGAGATATTCATACTTCGGTATCTACTTATCATTTGTCCTTAATTCCCAAAGTGATCTGAAATCCTAGTTCTATAAGAGCAACCTACTTTTCTGTTAATGGTGTTCTTAAATTTTAACCCCCAAAGATTCATAGCAGGGTAGTGTATTGAGTGCTACCTTTTGAAGGATGTAGGGAGAAAAGCATAAACTTAAATGAAATACTGTAGCAGATAATGATGTTTTAGCTAGAGAAGAAAATGCATAATAGAGGTAGTGTAATATTTTTAAATGAGAATTATAAGAAAATGATTAACAACAATAGTTGAGGCTTTGAGTGTTTCCTGTTAACATACAGTGTATAGGTTGGCAAACAAATTACTTAACCTGTTTTGCATACTTAAGCCTAGGTGGCATGGAATTCAATATTGGTAATTCAAAGGTGTATTTTATTGAAGGGAAGAGTTATAACTATACCTAATGGCATTTATGTCTATACAGAAATTTACAACCCTGAAAGTAAAAGCATAATGTGAGATTAGATATCTGTGGTGGGAGGAACAAAAATGGATATTATGTTAGCGATATTATAAATATAACCTCATGGTCAGATGGCAGACTTAGAATATGATGCTCTTTTAGTACAGATTATTTGATTCAAACTATAATATCTGTACGTAGAGTCTTCAAAATATAGAAAGGGATCCCTTGGCCCCCATAATGCAAGTTGAAATATATAGTTCTATGCAAAATAGTTTTGGAGTGCTGAAGGAACTTACAGATGAAATTTCTGAGAAACTGTAGAGAGCAAGTACCACAAAAAGAAGAGAGTTCATTGTGCTTTTCAAAAAAGTAAAAGAGGAATAGATTTGAGAAATTAGTTTTGTTGTTGATTATTAGCAAATTGTAGAGCACATTTTTCAGATATGTGGTTTGTGAAGATTTAAAAAGCAATAAGGAAAAACACTTTTATTAGAATAAATCATTTTAAATACCCTAGTTTCTTTTTTTGTTATGGTTAGCCACACTGGTATGTCAAATGCTAAGGGCATAGTATAGACATAGTGTAACTGAATTTCATATTAGATACTGAAATTTGAACTGGTTAAAATTAAAAGTAAAAAATGGATATGTAACCAGTTGAATAATAGAAACAAAAGCATTCAGTGGCTTGGAAATACTCTTGAGGGAGATTCTAATGGAGAGCCACAGGTTCTGTCTTTGTGTCTACTCCTAATTCAAGAAGGATGACAGAATCAAGAGAAAAGATTATCTCAAACACTGACCTGAAAACAAAGCAAATTAACAACTGTTATAAAGTTCTGCTTTTAGGCTTAAATACACATCCAACCAGTTCAGAAGAAGCAGTGTCTGATAGCGAATACTTGATTTGATCAGTTTATCTGATAAGATTTTAGGGTTTGGGTGGGGAGGTGGGGGGAAGAGGAAGAGATGGAATTAGTCAGCCAAAGCTTAATATGAAATAATTATGTAATGTGGTTGCTAAAAGCTTTCAACCTAATCTTGAACTTAGACATAATCTTACACTTAGACATGATAGCTGCTATCAAATATTTGAAGAACTGTCTTGTAAAAGAGGACTAGAAGAGTTCCAGGAAGGAAGGTTTTGTCAACCTATGAAATGGGCTCCCTCAGTGGGTGCCTCATCAGCTTTCATCTTTGCTAATATTTAAACCAAGGTTGAATGCCTATCAGTACTATAAAAGTATTGATGGAACCTTGAATTACATGGACATCTGAAGTGTCTTTCAAGCTTTAAGGTCTGATTCTGTTATTTCTTCTTTAATAGAAATTCTCTATCATTGAAAACTGTAGAAATTACAGTAAGAGGAAGTGGTATGGTATAGAGACATGAGCACCAGACTGTCCCATTTCATTTCTTACTTTTTTTTTTTTTAAGATTATTTATTTATTTATTTGAAAGAGAGAGAATGAGAGAGAGCACATGAGAGGGGGGAGGGTCAGAGGGAGAAGCAGACTTCCCACCGAGCAGGGAGCCTGATGTGGGACTCAATCCCGGGACTCCAGGACCATGACCTGAGCCGAAGGCAGTCGCCCAACCAACTGAGCCACCCAGGTGCCCCTCTTTTCTTACTTTCTAAAAGCACCCAGTGCATTAGCAAGTATGGGCTCTTAGTGAATGTTGAATGAATGGACTTATTGTCATTTGGGTTCAGAATCCTAGCTCTCTCACTAATCAGCCCTTGAATTTGAGCATTTCCTTTAATCTTTGTTAACTAATTTGTAAAATAAAGAGAGTTGGAGTAGATTACTCTGTCTCTTCTACCTCCAACATTCTATTTCACAGATTTGTTTACTCTTTTTACTTGAAGCAGTTCTGAAGTTTGGAAGTTTAAATTGGTAAAGAACATACTGGTGGTGCTCTTGAAAGTCAACTATGATATTCTGGATTTTTGTTTTTTTTGAGTTATTGTGAATTTAACTGAGAATGGTCCTTTTATAAAAATTTAGAATTTTTTGCTATTGGGCCCCAGTCTTTAAACACTTAGAAGAAGAGGCAGAAATGACTCTTAAGGAAGCCCTTTTAAAACAAAATAATATTTTCTAGAATTGAATTTAAAATCTAGATTTTAAAAGGATTTGTTATGATAAAAAATTAATGAGACATTTTGAGTTTTAGGGCTGGCTAACATCTATAACTTTTATGAAAATCAACCCCCCCCAGTTCACAGAATTTTTTGAAGTTATAGAGGTTTTTGGTTTCTGCTAATATTAGAAGTATTGGGAAATAAAATTTTATGTTTCTCATTACTTTTTATACTCTTCCCTAATAATGTCTATTAGAACCAATATATGGTTGCTATTAAAGTCATTCTAATATATTATTTCCTCAGATTATAGAATTAAATTTAATAACTAATAAGATCCCATTCTTGTAATGTTTTACAGTTTACAGTTCTTTCAGACATATTCTCTGATTCACTTAATTACTGGTAAAGTAATTAGAGGAGGATTTTTACTCCCCTTTTTATAGATAAGAAAACAAGCCTTAAGAGGTTAAATGGCCTTAGATCATGCAGCTAGTCAGTGAGGACCTGAAATTAGAACTTAGATCTTCTGACTACCAGTCAGTATACTTTTACTTCTGCATCACATTGCCTCTGTCTAGCACCTGTATATTATTAATTGATGAAATTATAGTGCGTTAAATTGTTTCTTGATACTTCACAGCTGGCAGACACACCAAAATCTGAAAGATATGAGCATGTTCTGGAGGCATTAAATGATTACAAGACCATGTAAGTTGATTTATTTTATGTATCCCTATGAGGGAGACATTTAGTAAGTATAAGGAATAATGGCATTGTTTAAGGATTGTGGGATTGGTGTTCAGAACTAGTACAAACCAGTTTAAGCTTTTTAATGTCCTGTTCTTTTTCAGTCAGAGTAAAGTAGTGGTTCTCAAGGGTTGGAGAAGGAAAGAGCAATCCTCTGGGAATGGTGGATGGGAGGCAGGCATACCAGTATCTCGGGAATTGGCCTGTTCAGTTGAAAAACGTTCAGTAATGACTTGTTTTTATAATACAGTCTCCTGAAAATAAAATAAAATCTTAGGTGGTGGGAAAATGCAAACTGTAGTGGAAAATACTGTAGCGAATGTTGGTTTTAAAATGATCACGAGATCTTCTATGATTTTAAGATTAGTTATTGTCAACAGTTACAGAAAAGTAGTATTAGTACTAAGTTTTTGATAATTGATTATTGTTTGATATAGTCTTGTATAGGGCTTTCCTTTTAAAAAAAACCCAGCATATCTACATTTTAAAAAAATATTTAAAATTGCAATAGAAATGTTTTAAGGGTATATGCTGGTTCTAACCAACCATTGAGCTATTTTATAAGATTTTTCTTTTTTTGAACTGTACAGCATTCCCTCCTTAAAAATATTATAATTACTAGTGGCTAACTAGATCTTTCGGCCAGTTCAAAAAGCCATAAAGTGCCTGAGCAATTACTGTGCTGGTAAAAATACTTTATGGGACATGAATTCTGTAATCCAATTTAGGGTACCAGAAATACATCTATTCCTATTATGATAGAAATGGGAGCTCCCCTTTCTCAAACTTGCATAACAGTGGAAGAATATTCCAAGCATTTGGTAGTGTGTTCTTAAGGTTAGGCAGGGTCTAGTAGCACTAAGGTAGATGGGGTGTTTTGGAGTAAGGAGCCTGAGGACTTAGGGAAACAGTTATGGAACACATTTTTCAGAGACCTAAACCCACACTGAAATAACTTTTCTCTGCTCCACGTTATTTTCAGTTCTAGATCTGACACACTAGACACTGCTTTTATTTTTTGGACCTCTCATACTGGGTCCTCTTTTCCACTGCTAACACCTGTTACTTTCCGACCAGGGTTTCTCCCCTCACAGATCCACTCTGAAATGGAATTTTTCTTTTCCTAAACATTTTTTGAGATCTTTTAAACAGATGACACTGAAATATGGAAAAACACATTTTAGGACTAAAAAGACACCGCTCTTTACTCTTCTTCCTTTAAAAAGTTAGAAGTGGACATGTGCTTGTCTCCCTTCTGATCCTGTCCCTCCCTCCTTACTCCCCCATTATATCCTACTGTGGATTAGCTCTGGAGCAGAAAAGAATCAAGGAAAGCAAAGGGAAAGAGTGAGTTTTGTAGTATTGGGTGGACTTTCATGTATAAAGGCTTTATATCTGAAAGTTATGAGTTAGGGTCTGCCATGTATATGTGTTCAGTTTTTAAATTTTTAGTTAATTTTTTTAAAAATTTAGGTTTATGTCTGGGAAAGAAATAAAGAAGAAGAAGCATTTGTTTGGGTTGCGAATTCGTGTTCCTCCTGTGCCACCAAATGTGGCTTTCAAAGCAGAGAAAGAACCTGAAGGAACATCCCATGAATTTAAAATTAAAGGCAGAAAGGCATCCAAACCTATATCTGATTCAAGGTAAAAGTTGATCTGTGGCTTAGTTTTTCTCTTTAGCTTATTTGTAACTAAAAATGTGTTACTTAGTTTCATTAGTATATTTGAAAGTACAAGTGGTAGTTACCTTGATTTGTTTTCCTGTTTATAATTTGTCGCTTAGACAAGGTACAAAGAGTTAATTTAAATTAGATCTTTATTTATTTTAGATCTTAGGCTTTCTAGGAATAAGTCCTATTGATTTTGTTAGCAGACAGTTTAAGTACTGGCCTGTTCATTTGTTTGTTCATTTCTCATTCACTCATCCATCCATTTATTCATTCCATTTATCAAGCACCTTACTATCTAAGTGCTGGGGATATAATAACAAGACAGACTTTCTTTCTGCCCTGGTGGGGTTAAGAGTATAGTGGGGAAGAAAGGTGATAAAATAATTACAGGTCATGCTAGTGCCATCTAGGACATAGCAAATGGATTTAGATTGTTCTGGGATGGATAGAGGTGAAATAGTCTGTCAAGAAGGAGGCTTAAGGAAGGCCTATTTAAGATGATACTTAAGCTGAAACTCAAAGAATGAGACTAACCAAAAAATGCAGAACAAAGGGAAGAATATTGCATGTGGTGGAAATAACAAGTATGAAGGCTTGAGGCATGTTCTAGGAACTCACAGACTAGTAAGGAGTGAGTGAGGGCTAGAGAGTAGCATCACGTGTTGAAAAGTTTGAGTGGGGCTTGATCATGTAAGAATTGTGTAGGTCTCCCAAGGAGTTTGGGTGGTTTTTAATGATGGGGAGCTGTTTAAAGATGTAAGCAGACTGAATTATCCTTTAAAAAAAGATACATCTTTGTATGCTGTTTGGAGAATGGATAGGTATAGAGGTAAGAATAGAAGCAAGAGAAAGGAAGACTCCTGCAGTTGTCTAGGTGAGAGATTGCCTGGGTAGGTGGTATCATTCAAATGGAGAGAAAATAGGTTTGAAATCTCTGTTGGATACAGAATTTATTGGCTTTGCTAATGAATTTATGAAAGAAAGGGAGGGACGAAGAAGTTATATAATGCTATATAATGCTCAGATTTCTGGCTTGAGCAACTGGTGGGTGGTGATGTCTGTTATCAAGACCTGCAAGAGCAGATTTGGCAAGGTGAGTGAAGCATTCTTCTGTCTCATACTAACTGAATTTGAGATTTTTACAAGGGATATCTAAGTGATGATGATGGACAGCTGGGTCTGTAAATCAGGAGCTCAGGAGAGGTCAGGACGCATGAAACAAATTTGGAAGCTGATTTATAAGGCCATGAAAATGAATGAAATTACCTAGGAAGCAAGAGCTGGGGTGAGGGGGGAGTACTGTGGCCCAGATAATGCCCTGTTATCATTTGGAGATTTGGAAGAAGTGAAATAAATGAAGGAGGCTAAAAAGAATGATCAGTGAGACAGGAGGAAACCAGGAAAGTTTGGTGTCTTGAAAACCAAGAGAAGGGGAGTGTTTCAAGAAAGATGAGCATATTAAACAGTATTGAATGCTGCTGAGAGGTGGATTTAGGATGAGAGAAAAATGTTTATTGCAGATAACATTCTGTTATTAGTGACCTTAACAAAAACAGTTTTTTGTTTGTTTTTTTGAAAAGGTAAGGATAGAAATCAGTTTGGAGTGGGTTAAAGTATGATTAAATCCAGCACTGCTCTCAATTAACATGTCAAAACTGGGCTTTTTCTACAAATAAGGGACATAGGCAGATTCAAAATAATAATGATGATAATAAAGGAAAAGAGGAAAATAGGAAATAATCTTTAAGAATTCTGAATGAGAAGAGAGAAAGTGGAAAGGGAGGGCATGTGTCACCAACACTCCAAAGTAGTTTTATTGTGAAGAGGTAGACAAATGGAAGCTGAAGAGGGGAAATGCTCAAGTGATGGCTTTTTAAAAGATGGAAAATTAATTGGAACCTGTTTTTATGTGCTAGTAGGAATGATCCAGTGGAGAAGAGATTGGTATAGGAAAGAGGGAAGGTAATTGAAGATATTGTAAAGTCCTTGAGAAACTAAAAGGGAAGGAATTTAGAACTTAAATGTGGGGATGGCTTTTGATAGGACTTACACTCTTTTGTTGAGGTGAAAATGGGTACAGATGCTAATTCTATTATAGATTTGGCATTTGGAAGATGACTGAAGTTACTGCTTGGTAGCTTCTATTTTCTCAATGAAATACTGAGGTATTAAGACGGCTGAGAGGGTTGTGCAGAGAGGGAAATTTAAGGAGCAAATAAAAGGTATGAGATAGTCATCTTGGAGAGTAAAAAAGGTAATTACACAGTGTTTCATATCCATTTGAGTTTGTAATAAAGTAGATACTGCTTTCAAGTTTTTTTTTCCCCTAAAGGAAAGCGTACTTATTCTTAGCACTTTCAGATTTTGTCATTAATCCTTTGCTATCAATTGCCCATGTTCTGAATTAGAAAAAAGGTTTACACAAATTTTCTCATTCCTATCATGATATTAATAAGACACTCCATCTGTGTTAGCTCTCAGGTTTTCGTTCGATGCCACCAGGAAATGGTTCAGCTTTCTTTAAAGGCATTCTCTATTCCTTCTGGGTCCTATGTATGAATTGGTCCTTTTAATCTGAGAGTACTTTCTTTAGTCCAGGAGTCCTCTATAAATGTTGATTATCTTTCAAAAATCTATACCCCATCTACCTTATCCTTGAGACTTTTGATCATAGTTCTACTTAAGCTTTGTTCCTCTAGTTCCCTTTCTCCTTCCTTGTACTTTCCCAGCTTTAGTTTGGTGTCTGGAGTAGTTGTCTTCTAATTTTTTCCATTCACCTCTTTCTAGCTTATTATATAGTAGTATTCCTCCTTTTCCATGTTTTTTAACTAAATTTTCCTCGGTAACTTTCTTATAGCACTGAACCCTTTTTATTAGCCTGCTTGTATACACCTTTGTCAACTTCTGACTATACTGTGAACCCCTTAGCACAAGGGAAGATCTTTGTATTCCTATTATCTGATATCTCTTTTCTGTGGTAGATAATGTTTGTTGAATAAATGAAGTTGATGTTCTATATGTTGATATTTGCCCTTTTCTTCTATTAATTAGAGATGTCTTTGTTGCTTCTTTTCCCCCTTCCTATTGCTTGACATTTGCTTTTATATCTCAAAAACAGTTTTCTAGATCTTTCTCATTGTGCCTTTTGAATGACTCCCTGCCCGATATGAAGAATTCCTTACTCTACACTCTTCCATCCTGGGCTTCATTCTCTTTCTGATAAACATCATTCAAGGATACATATATATATATATATCCATATATATACATATATATATATATCCATTTCTAAAGGCAACTTGTGTTTATAACTAAAATATTTTAATATAGATACTTCCTGGCTCCATGTGGGTAACTATTAAATTCGTAATTTAGTATAAATTCTTGAAATATCTCCCAAGTACCCACATAGTAACAACCTAAACTACACAATTGAACTTCTGGGAGTTTTGAAATCTTCCATCCAGTGTAGTAGTCTGTTTTTGTTTTTGCTTTTTAACTTTTAGGTGCTATATATTTTTCAGAATTGTAGTAAAGAGAACACTTTTTTTTTCTTAGACCTTTGTATATGTAAATATTTCTGAAGTCAAGAAATGTATGCTTAAATTGGAATATATTATCTATGCACTTGACTAAACTTGTAGATTCAACTTATATTTAATTTTTTTGTTTTTATATTACTATTAATATAAAAATAAGTATAACCTAATTATTACGTAAGTAGAGTGTGTGTTATCCATTGTCTTTTTATTTTCTTTATGCAGAAATTAAATACATAATGGTTTTATGTTTCAGGGAAGTAAGCAATGGCATAGAAAAAAAAGGAAAGAAAAAATCCGTAGGTCGTCCACCTGGCCCATATACAAGAAAAATGATTCAGAAAACTGCTGAGCCACCTTTGGTAAGAGGATGTGTTGGTATATGTTCTCAGGGAGGAAGGATGCTTGAAATTAACTGAGAAATGAATATCTTTTTCATTTACTTTAGAACCATGCTTTAAATGTTATTTTTTATTTTCCAGGATAAGGAATCAATTTCAGAGAATCCTACCTTGGATTTACCTTGTTCTATAGGGTAAATAGAAAGTTATTTTTTCCTATCCTAGGAATTTTCTTTTGGGGGGCAATGAGTATTTCTATTGTTATGTAATATAGTCGTTATACCATTTAAATTTTTTTGTCTCAGGAGAACTGAGGGAACTGCACATTCATCTAATACCTCAGATGTGGATTTCACGGGTGCTTCCAGTGCAAAAGAAACTACCTCGTCTAGCATTTCCAGGCATTATGGGTAGATATTTTATATTCTTATTCCTTACTAATTTTCTTCTAGATAATTTTTCTTTGTAAAGTAATATTAAATAAATTTTTAGCAATCAAAAGTTATATAAGTATGCCTTTCATTGTTTGAGAAGCAATCTATATGTAGATTCCTTAGGTTGTTAATATTCATCAGGAAATTTTGCTGTGTGCATAGAAAAGAGGTATACTGGTGTTTATAGGCTGTGTTCTTTTCCTCGAGACCTTTCTATGCTTATAGTATTTAGGTTTGCCTTGCTTTAGGAAGACTTTTTCTTTTTTTATTACCTGAATCAGACATACAAATCCTTTTGTTACTAAAAGAATCTTAAACTCAGGATTTCTATCAGTAGCAGACTTCTCTAATATTTTAGTTTACCTGACTTTTCAGAAGGATACCTTTCCTAAAGCATGATATATCAGGTATGAAAAGGTAGTTTACTTGGGGTCAGAACTGTGAGTTGCAAGTTTTATACTTCCCTTAGTTTAATTTTTGTTCACAATTCAGAAACTGCTCATGTAAATTATACAAAATTCAGAGTATTAAAAAGATTAAAATATAACTCATTTTTTAATGAATTGTGAAAAATAATGTGAACTGTTTTTGGCCTCTTACCCAAGCATTTTGCTAATCTTCCTACATACATTGTCTTATTTAATTCTTAAAACAATCTTTTGAGTTGTAGGTCCTGTTATTCCCATTTTAAAGATAAAGAAACTGAAACTTGAGAGGATTTTAAGAAACAAGCCCAGACTAGCATGTTTATTAACAAGCATAACAGAGCTGGGATGTTGAATTGAGCAGTGTGATTGTAAAGTCTTTGAATTTAGCTGTTATGCTATATTCTCCGCTTGTTATAAGATTAGAAAATCATTGAATTCCTGAGCTAAAAAGGACCTCAGAGATGATCTGGTTCAACCCCTTCACTTAATCTCTTCACAGAAGGGAATACAGAGGATATGAGATTTGAATTTGGCCAATATCACAGAGCTAGATTCGGGGTACCCTGATTTCTAGTTTATGCTTATTCCAGTTCAGTACATTACTTCACTAGGGCTAGAACTGGTAATAAGAGAACATTTATTCTAGTTCTACCATCTATTTAATTTAAGCACATGGAACAATGTTGTGTATAGAGTAGGTGCTTATTAAGTATTTACTGCATTGAATGAGTGAATGAACTGTCTTCTTTTTAATGATAAGACTGTTGACGATATCTGACTAATGAATAGGGCCTCTTCTTGGTAAGAATTTGTCTCATTGGCCTCGTAATTAAAAACTTCCTCTGATTCTTTTAAGCTTAATAGTACATTGTTAAGGAAGAAAAGCTCTTCAAAGGTCAGCCCCAAGAAGGTGATGGAATCTAACGAAGGCGAGTGATAATCCATTTATAAAAATAGCATGTATTGTTTTGGTTTGGCTGATTTTTATGTCAGCAAGGGTATATACTTACAGTAGAGTGATAGAAAAAAATCTGAGAACATATTGTTTGGGCAAAGGATGCTTTATAAACTCAGTAGACAATTATGGTCTTTCTTGTTCCATAGATTATCTGACTCCAGAAAAAGAACTCGTACAGGAAGATCTTGGCCTGCTGCAATACCACATTTACGGAGGAGAAGGGGTCGTCTTCCAAGAAGAGCACTCCAGACTCAGAACTCAGAAATTGTAAAAGATGATGAAGGCAAAGAAGATTACCAATTTGATGAACTCAACACAGAGATTTTGAATAACTTAGCAGATCAGGAGTTGCAACTCAATCATCTAAAGAACTCCATTACCAGTTATTTTGGTGCTGCAGGTAGAATAGCATGTGGTGAAAAATACCGAGTATTGGCTCGTCGGGTGACACTTGATGGAAAGGTGCAGTATCTTGTGGAATGGGAAGGAGCAACTGCATCCTGACTGTAGGACTGAACATTATGTTCACTGCACTCTCATTTTCTGTAGGTACAGTTCAAAGCCCTAAAGGATAAAGGAGTCTGGCTTTTACTATCTTTCTTAAAAAAAAAAAAAAAGTCAAAAAAATTCACAAAAGGAGATGATAACTAGCCTTAACATGTACCTGTCAATGTTATGGATATTGTCATAAAAAGATATCTTTTAAAAATCAGAACAGAGACTTAATTTTTTAAATCTTAAGATTTGTAGAATGTTTCTAGGATAGGATATTAAAAATGATTCAAATCCATGCATGGTGTTAGATAATTTTTCTAATTATTCCATTGAGTCAGTTTTTGTGATTAGTGGTTATCAGATCAAACAGATCATGTAGATAGATAGCACAAGTATTTGGAGAAACGTTGTCTGTTTTGTTACCAAAATGTTGGAAAAAATTTATTTCAATACCTTTCAGATTTCATAAAGTGCAGTGTATATAATGCCTACTAAAAGACTGTAAAATATTGAAATTTTCTTTCAAGCAAAATGTAAAAAATATATTGAGCCTGTAAATTGCTCTGTGACTAGACTTCATTGTCGTCTTAATATATTCTTTGCATGTGCATATATATACACAGGTGTGTATATATATGTGTGTGATTATGTGACCTATGCAATACAAATTATGGGAATGGGCAGCTTTGGAGTATATATCCCATAATTCTTTTTTCAGGAATAGTTGCAGTATTTACACAGCAGCATTTCTTCTCAGGCTTTTATTGGGTGCTGTTGCTTGCTATGTATGAAGAGAAATGTGTCAAACAAGTTTAAAGTTTAGTGTGTTCTGAAGAAGGGTGTGAACAACAGTGTTCATGGGCTTTTAGAATGCTTTTCACTTTCAGTCCTTGTAACTCAGCTGTTCAGTACCTAAAACCAATTCAAATAATATGAACATTATCTCCTACTAGAAGTAACGTTTTCAAGTTTTCATGGCACATGATGATTGTAAATGTCTCTCAGTTTTAACAGTAAGTCTATAGGAGTCCCGTGAAGATTCCTGAAATGTCTGTAGTAACTGTTAGTCATGTTGAATAAGTGTAGTATGAACAAAGTATTTTATTGCACAGGGTTAACAAACAGTATGTTGCCTGACAAGGCTACTGCTGTTTTATTACAACATTACCTCTTGTTTTTATAAAATGTACCAAGATTTAAATTGATAACTTTATTTTACATGTAAAAAAACAGTTTCTTTTATCACCAGTGTTAGTTGTCTTCTGTTTCTTTTTGTTTTGTTTTGTTTGTTTGTTTTCTTTTTTAGCCAAAGAGTAAACAGAAGAATATTCTTATTTTGGTGGCTATTCATTTTACTCTTAAAAGTGATTGGTGGATTTTGCCTAAAAATTGGGGAATTTGCCGCCAAAATGAAAAATATGTAAAGTGTAGTGGTTACAGAGCGGTAAGAATGTGGGTTAGTACTTATTTATTCCATTGATTGATTATTTGACTGTTTATAAAGAAAGTTGCTTTATTTCTTTAAACATCTTCAAAAGATGACCTTTTCTTGTCACATTATAGCCAAAAGAAGCAGAGAACTTCGTTGTCCTGCATTTGGTTCCTGGTTGGCCAGGTATAAATGAGCTTTACAAAAGTGCAAATTAAAAACTGTCACTTCTGTTTACCTCCACCAAAACTTGATTTTCCCCTAGCTATTAATTTAAAGTTGCCTTTCCTGCAGCTGCAATATTTTGAATAACACACAGAGTTTGTGTTGATTTTGAATGTTTGTTTATATCTAGGGGTAATGGAAAATGTAAATCCCGTGTAACCTTATTCACTCCACCTGTATCATATTATTTCATTTTTCCCAAAGTCCTTTAATTCTAACTGAACACCAGCAGTATTTTAGTAACTCTTTCTTTAGTATACCTGGAAGATGATTTATTAAGCTGAACTGTGTTTAGACGTAATTATTGTGAATGTCTGTTTTATTTTATCATGGTGGTTCCACATGGCTCTGATGTTCAGTTTGTATTTTTGGAATTGCTTTACTTAGAATTAAAACAGACCAACATTAAATGTGTGTATTTTTTAAAGAGCTAATGAGTTTTGCTTCTGTATTTGCTTGAAAATACACACTGATGCAGTGGATGACTGCTTTTATTTAGTCAGGGAGCTAAGGATTTTCCAATTCCATTGTAAATATGTTCACTTGAATTAATCTTTATGAAACTTGGCTTTTATTTTCCGCTTGTCCCTCAAATAATATTAATAATTATTGCATGTTCATCTAAAATGATCCTTTAAAAAAAATCTGCTTAATCAGCTCATACACTTCCTGCTTGAAAGACAGTATATCTCCCTCTATCTACCTTGTCCCCAAAATTCAAAAAAATTCAGACTTTTCAACTGTTTTTTTCTTTTTGCTTATGTAGAAGGTGTCAGGTTCACATCAAAGGATTTTGGTTTTTTTTCCTTAAAAGCTTTGCTCCTAGACTGTAGAAGGAAAAGATGTAAAAATAGTATGCCTTACTCGTTTTAATTACATTTTTATTCAAAACAATACGTTTTTATAAATATCCTGATAATGATTAAGTATGGATTCTTATATGATCTAACTAGATCAGAATATGAGCTATCAGAGTTATTCTATAAATTCTAATGTACGAGTAATGAAGTCAGATCTTGCTAGTCATCTTTTGTTACTAAATGTTTAACAAGTGAATGTTCACTAATGTGTGAGTTGAGGATTCCTCTCCCCTTATATTTTGCAAGTTATGTCCAGCTGTACGTGTTTGGTTTCTGTTGTGTATATATTCAGAAGATTTCTGTTATGAGCCTTGGGGGTAGAACTAATTCTTCTGAACTACTTGGTTGAGTTTCTACCACGTACTATTAAGTTTTGGTTGGAGCATGATCTGACTTGCATAGTTACAGCAGATTGTTGTATATGTAGTTCTAGAGTTGTTTGAATGAGGATGTGATGGCAAAGGAAGATGTCCATGCAACTTTGGGAAATAGTAAAAAAAAAAAAAAAAAAGCCCTGTTTAATGTGGGGAAGTTTTCCTCTTTAAATTATATTTGAGTACTTCTACAAATATCCACTCCCAAAAGTCTCCTTTGGTTTCTTCTGTGGCAGTCGATCAGTCATCTTCTTTCCTCAGGAAAATAAAAACTTGGCAGTTAAATGTAAAGTGAGAATTTTATCTGGTCATGGATTCTTTTCTAATTAGTAGCAGTTAAGAAACCACATGTCAGACTGATAAAAATTTAGAGATGAGAGAAGCTATGAAAGCAAACTGATTGGCTCTCTGAATATCAACAAATAGAATGGGATTAAGTACAATATTTGTAATTTTTAAGTTATATCAGAATGTCTTGGAGCAATAGCTAGATCAAAATATTATACTGTCTTTATGTTTAAAATTAGAATAAGACTGCAAATAAACTAGCTCACTCTATTTTTCTCCCCTTCCCTCACTTCTTACCCAGCAAAATCCCTCTTTGCTTCCTCCCCTTGCATTTTCTCTTTGTTAGAGCTGATGAGTATTGAAACTGTATGCTTAGTAATAGTAAGTCCTCACTTTTGCAGCATCTTCAAGGAATGTGATATCTCGTTCAAGAAAATTCCACTGGATTTAAGCAAACAAACAAATGAACAAAACTTCCATAGATGATAAAATGTACTTATTGGATAAAACAAAACAAAAATATATCTTGTTCAAAATCATTAGTCTAATTTTTGTTCCTTGTATTTACCAAAAGGTATTCAGTCTTTTCTCTCTTTTTCTTTCATGCTTTCACAGTAAGGGTGATACAGTCTCAAAACAGGCACAGATTGGTTCATGGGGGCCAGAAGGCAGAAAAAGTCTTAGATAATGGTTTGTGGCCCTCCAGAGCTCAACTCTATCCAACAAAAATCTTATTCCTTAGTATTTGATTACTTTCATTGAGTTTTCTTGAATATCACAGGAGTAGCACTGACACTGAGTTCATGGAACAAAAAATATGCAAGATTGGTGCTACAAAACTATGGTAGATAATGGTTTTAAAATTTGGAGGGCTCTGTTCAATCTTAAAGTCATAGTGTGAGAGATAGTCTGCACATGCCTATGAGCTTCTGCTGTCTCTCTTGTGGATGTTTATGTTTGATCCTTAGTGCTTTTTGTGTAGCCTAGGCTTGGGAATTAAATAAAAGTAGCTTACATTTGTTATTGAGTTCTACCAAGTTTATTCAACCCATCATTAATTATGTCAAGTGCTGAAAAAAAAATGTTGATATTATCTGAGTATCTAGCAGCTAGTTGAAAGGTTTATTTTATTTTTAAGATTTTTTATTTATTTACTTGAGAGAAAGAGAGAGAGAGCGAGTGGGCACGAGGGGTTGGGGAGAGGGGCAGAGGGAGAGGGAGAAGCAGATTCCTTGCTGAGCAGGGAGCCCGACGTGGGGTTCAATCCCACGACCCTGGGAACATGTCCTGAGCCGAAGGCAGACGCTTAACTAACTGAGCCACCCAGGTTCCCCTGAAAGTTTTTTTTTTTAAGTAACTTTTTCATATCAAGCAGAAGTTAAAAGTAAGCTCACCAAAAACAGTTCTTTTAAAAAATCAAGTTTTTCAAATGTTTGGAAGTCTTAATTACCTTACTATTATAGTGTTTCTATAAATTAATAATTGGCATATGTAATTTTAGATACATAACAATTTATATAAGTAAATAAATTACATTAAATTAAATACTCAAAATGAGGTTGTAAATTTAAGTTAAATGTTAATAGCATCTAGTATAAATAATATATGCTTAGTGAAGGATTATGATTAGTATTGTTTGGGCCGTTAATTGACCCCTTATATATTTTATCTTTAGTACTATTAGTGGAATGTAAGGGAATTTTACCTGTACAGAATTTGAGACAAAAACAAGATTTTCTGGGGCACCCAGGTGGCTCAGTCGGTTAAGCATCTGAGTCAATTTCAGCTCATTTGGGATCTCAGGGTTGTGACATCAAGCTTGAGATCGAGCCCTGTGTCAGGCTCTGCACTGAGCGTGGAGTCTGCTTGAGATTCTTTCTCCCTCTGCGGCCCCCCCATCTGTGCTCACTTGCTCACTCTCAAATAAATTAGAATCTTAAAAACAAACAAATGAGAATTTGGGTCCCCTTTGCAAAATATATAAAGCTTGCTTAGATATCTGTGAAGTTAAACTTTTCCTTGAGGATGAAGCATATTGGAGAGGGTTTTGGAAAAGAAAGCCTATTAGCTCATCTAAGATTTGTAGAGGCACGGTTTGGTTCCTGTATTCTTTTATTACCAAATCTCTTCCAGAATCCAAGAGCGGATCTATAACAGGTCTGTTTTTTACTTTGTATTATAATTTTGCGTAACCTGGTATTTTAGACTTTTTATGTTATTTTTGACTTTTTATGTTATTTTTATCTTTGGATGTAAAGTTTCCAATGAAGAATTTTGTCATCAGAAACTCGTTCTTAATACCTCTTAATAAACTATAATTTGTTCTTTAAGCAACTTTTTTTCTTTTAAGATATTTATTTATTTGACAGAGAGAGAGAGTGAGAGCACAAGCAGGGGGAGAGGCAGGGAGAGACTGCTGGATCCCAGGACCCTGGGATCATGACCTGAGCCAAAGGCAGATGCTTTAATGACTGAGCCACCCAGGCGCCTCCTTTAAGCAACTTTTAAGCCATTAAATGAGACCAGAAGTATTTAAAATGCCACTTTATTAGAAGATTTTTCTAGAATGTATTAAGTACTTCATGTTTTTAAAACACTATCTTTAGCATGTTAACCTTTTCCTAATTACTGAGAGATTGTGAACATTTATTTTATGTTGCTGTAATATGGTGGTACTCTCAGGGGTCTAGATGTGGGTAGGGGCATCAGTCATTACTCTTTTTTTTTTTTTTTTTGAAGATTTTATTTATTTATTTGACAGAGAGAGACACAGCGAGAGAGGGAACACAAGCAGGGGGAGTGGGAGAGGGAGAAGCAGGCTCCCCGCAGAGCAGGGAGCCCGATGCGGGACTCAATCCCAGGACCCTGGGATCATGACCTGAGCGGAAGGCAGATGCTTAACGACTGAGCCACCCAGGCGCCCCAAATCAGTCATTACTCTTAATGAGTTAGGCTAGGTGGTGCTTTTATATTATTCTTGTCTGCTTTACTGTATCTTCTGTGGCAGTGCCTATGTTAATAAACCACATTTATTTACAGTGCATTGAGTGGCTTTCTCCCTTTCCTTTCTCCCACCTAGCTTCTAAACATTAATTTGCTGTAGAATGGAAAAAAATTAAGCAGGGTTTTCTGGGACAAAGAGATAACCATATAAATAAAATTTTAAACTTCATTTTACCCAACTTCTGATTTTTTTGTTTTAGATTCTTGAGTGAGTTTTCAAGAGTGATTTCCTTTGAAAAAGTAGCTGGCTTTTTAAATATTCATTACTTAAAATAATCTCTCATTTTGTTTTTCTTGCTTCCTATTTTATAATGTGTAAGTGGTTGAGATTTTTAGAAATCTGACAGCGGAGTAAGTTAAGACTGTAATGTAGGTTATTTTGTGCCTTAAGATAACTTCTTGGAAAACAGCACCATTGTTTTCTATTAACTAGTAAGTGGAGTAAGATAAAAGCAAAATTGCAATATCATTGGACCAGTTATAAATCTGCTCTTGGATTCTGGAAGAGATTTGGTGATAAACAGGAACGTCAGAACCAAAACTGCCTCCGTGGCTCATAGTTGAGCCAGGTGGCTTTTCTTTTCCAAGAGGTATTAGATTCAATGGCTTATGCCCTCTCTGTATTATGGAAAAGAGAAAATAGTGTCTTGTCTAGTGTGGACTTGTCATATAAGGATGGCAAATTGACATGGCTTTATTACATGCACATACATAATGGTCATAAAGTAGCTTAAAGGAACAGAGAAGAGATGGTATTTCAATCAGAGCAATAATTAACTACTAATTTCCATAACTTTATAGGTTAAATGAGTGCAGGAATTGATACTAGTAATTTAACTTTTTGGTGTTTCAAGTGCTGAAGTTGACTGCAATTAAAATGTCAAGGGTCAGAGGATCGTAATTT